GCGCTTAATAAAAATTAAATCTGTAGGTGTGAGTAGGAATGTATGGAGACTTGTTATACTAGAAGCCTGTTCCTTTCATTATGAGTAGGCTTCATGGAAGCCTTTCCAGAAGCTTTTCCTTGAGAATCCACACTTTGCTTATGTTACTGATTAAACTTCCTTGGCTCTAACACCTTCTTTTCCTCTAGCAATGCAGTCCCATAGAGAACCTCGCAGAGACTGGCATTTCATAATTAATTTGAATTATGAGAATAAGAGTGTGAATAATAGGGATCATTCATGGTGAGTCACTGCCTTCTCACAAAGTAGGAACAGGATGTTGTTAAGTCAGCAAGAAAGGGGCCTTTGCTTCCCCAAGGGGAAAAACCCTGTGCAACACCCATAAGCTGGTCCAAAGTGGATGCCTTTCAGAGGTCCTATAATTTAGTTGGAATATGTGAGTGCAGTTGCGGGGGAGGGGGGAAGAATGGGGAGCTACAAATTAAACAGAAAATGCAGAGGACAAAGCAGCAAATACACAAAAGATTACCCACAGGCAGTACTCCTGTCAGCGGAGACTGGATGCCATAGGAGCCCAGAGCAGCAGTTCCTGGAAGTGACAGCAAGGCACTGTGGCCAGGCCACACTTTGCCAGCCGCAAAGGAAGGATGGGATTTGGAGGTAATGGCATTCTGGACAGAGGCCCAGGGAACAGGGGAGTGAATCCAGGGTACTCTCAGGAAGGAGAGGAGTTGGGGGAGTGGGACCCCTGCCCAGGAGACTGAATAGAGAAATCTGAGTGGGCTCCCCACCAAAGGGTGCACTGATTACCTTGGGGTCTTTGCAAGCCAGGCCAGAGTGTGGTTGTTACACAGGAGGGACATGACGTCGGAGAGGCAGCAGGCCAAGAAATAAGTAGTAAATAGGATATCTGCAGTCAGGAAAAGTGACTTTGGACCCCAGGTTTCATCATTTAACGGGTAAAAAAAATACGGGAACAATCACACCTGTTTGAGCCTTAAGTGCTTTGATGTGTAATTTGGGCATAATATTTGTTTTTCATAGTATTCTTTCTGCAAGCCCTAGTTTAAAATGATAATCATGGGGCGCCTGGGTGGCTTAGTCGGTTAAGTGTCCGACTTTCGCTTAGGCCATGATCTCGCGGTTCGTGGGTTCGGGCCCCGCGTCAGGCTCTGTGCTGACTGCCAGCTCAGATCCTGGAGCCTGCTTCAGATTCTGTGTCTCCCTCTCTCTCTGACCCTCCCCTGCTCACGCTGTCTCTCTCTCTCTCCTAGAAGTAAATAAAACATTAAAAAAAATTTTTTTTAATGATAATCATAACACATAAAAGAACTAGGTGAAGGGGACGTTAATGGCACAAAGGAGTGGGGTCATAGGCAGCTGGGCACCTGCCAGACTCTGAAACGCTGGTCATTTTCAACTTGATGACTCACATCCAGGTCCCAAGGCTGGTCAAAGGCACACTTGGTCAATGGCCCCATGTCCAGTATATCCCCAAGGGGTAGGGTGGGGAGAGGGGATGGAATAGTCTAGGACTTCTGTAGGAGGCGACAAGCTCTTCAGTGACAAGTCTGTCCCAGGGCCTCCCTCAGACCCTGCCTAGAATAAGAGGGGAAGAAACCAAGTCCAAACAGGTCTGAAGAGGCAGAGACACCAGCATCTCTTCCCAGGCACCTGGCCATTGCTCTCTGCCCAGGGCCTTCCAGAAGGGTCATAGAGAAACACAATAGGCATAAGGAATGGCCCCTTTGGGCTGGACATTTCTTTGTGAAACATGAGTCAGGGGTCCAGCTAAAGGAAATTCTGTTTGTCCTTTTTGCTAACAGATTAGGTGAACAAATAGCACAAGGTCTCTCAGAACAATGAGCCTAAAACATGGCCAGGCTAGAAAGGACGTGAGTGAGCCTGGGGCTCCTGGTCCTTAAGTACAAGGACCAAAGGCCACTTGGGTGAAAGTTCTGTGGCCTCACTGGGAGTGACCTGCAAGGGCTCCATCCTACTCCTTCTGGGCGGATTTCAAAGACTGCTCCTAGTTTCCAGGTTCAGAGGACTGTGCTCTTTCAATGATTCATTATTCAGTAAGAAGTCAGATTCTGTTTAGAAAACAAACATTTCCTGCATATCCATCCAAGTGGGACACGTTTGCATAATTACCCTACTTATCATCACAACAGCCCTGTCATTTAGGTATTTTTAATCCCCATTTTACAAATGAAGACATTAAGGCTCTCCATTCCAGGATTCCACCCCCACTTTCCCTCAAGCCCAGCCCACGATTTTCCCCCAAGATGCCACAATCAAAGCTTTCTTGCTTCCTTTTTTTTCCGTAGCCACAGGCAACATTTAGGAACTTGTACTGACATGTCCATTACGCTGTGTTGGCCCATCAGGACACACCTACCATTACCTCTTTGAACTGTCCCCTGTGCTATTCCCAAGGAGAAATATTACTGCTAATAGAAATATTGGTACATGACCACTACCACTAATAAAAATGGCTTTCTTGAGTTTAGATATGTGATCTCACTGAATTCTATAATTGTACCTGTTTTATAGATTAAGATACTGAAATATAGAAAGATAAGCCCCCACTTGCCCAACATCACACGGGTAGTAAGTGATAAAAGTAGAATTGCAACCCAGGAAATTTGAGTCCAGAGCATGCACTTCTTTTTATGTTTGTTTATTTTTGAGAAAGAAAGCACACGCGCAAGCGGGGGAGGGGCAGAGAGAGACAGAGAATCCAAAGTGGGCTCTGCGCCGAGAGCAGAGCCCAATGTGGGGCTCAGAGTCATGAACCATGAGATCGTGACCTGAGCAGGAGTCAGGAGCTTAACCGTCTGAGCCCCGCAGGCGCCGCAGAGCATGTACTCTAAAGCACACTGCAAACTGTTCTCCCCGTTTCCTGTCTTGATCATTTCGGAAATGCTCATAAATGACAGAATGACATTTTGGAAATGATCAAAACAGGGAATAAACATGTGACAAGTGAACTTGTCCCAGGGCCTTTCCTGGGAACCAAATTCCACCATCTGTCCGGTTGCTCCAGCCAGGTATCCAAGTCATCTTGATTCAGTATATTTTTACATACCAGCATTATTTTTTGATAACTGTGAAACAGGCAGTGTCTCACTTACACTAACCTGTGATTATTGCATGCAACAGAATTTGAATCTATCAAAATGGTGATTATTCTTCCAGAGCTGTAGCCATTAGTCTCCAGTCAGGCTTTAGCCATGAAACATGTCATGCTAAATCTAATTCTCTGCTGAACGAGCATCCCTTCTGTGAACAAGTGAACTATCCAACCTAAATAGAAACTTTTATGACTAGCCACATTGTTTTCACTTCTAAACAAACCTACAGGAAAGAACGCCCATTACCAACATATTAGTCAATTGTAAATAGCCATCATTAAAACCAACAATTTGAAACCTTTTGAGTGTTTGGAGTTTAGAATTTGGGGATCAGGATGGGGATTGCCAGAGGAGGTAGCAATTTTTAAGAGTACAGAAGGAACCTCCATCTAAACTAAGAAAAAAATGTCTAAGCTTTAAGAATCCATGTATACTTTAGTGAGAATAGCAGGATGCAAAATAAAATTATTATTCTAGAGGCACGTGGGTGGCTCAGGCAGTTAAGTGGCTGGCTTCCACTCAGGTCATGATTTCACGGTTCCTGAGTTTGAGGCCCCCATCAGGCTCTGTGCTGACAGCTCAGAGCCTGGAGCCTGCTTCAGATTCTGTGTCTCCCTCTCTATTTGCTCTTCCCCCCATTTGCGCTCTGTCACTATCTCTCAAAAATAAATAAACATTAAAAAATTGTATTAAAAAAATAAAGTTATTATTCTAAAATTTATCGGCCTGGCATTTTTCACGGAGAGTCGGGGGAAAGAAATAGAAACTAGTGGGCTTACTAATCACCAGCTCAGGTCCCCAGCATGGCCAATGGGGAGCACATTCCCAGTGTCGGTGTGATTTCTGAGGCATGGCTCAAAGCCAGCAGTGGCCCACCCTACAGCAGCTCTCAGGGTCAGCCCCTCCTATGTCCCCAAGACTCACCCTCCACATCCTCTACAAAATGCACAGATTCATAAAAAGACACTGTCTGACCCTCCAGCACTCTCCTGCCAGCCTCGCCATGTTTACTTTTATTCCTATTGTAAATATTCCCTTTCCTTAGCTGAGACCTTTCATTTTAAAGTGTTTGAAGCCAGGCAGCCTTCCGGTGTCAAAGACCTGAAGTGGTAGAAGAAGCTACCAGCTTCCACTGAAACAAGTGTGGTCATGGTTTGACTTTGAAAAGTTCTTTGGCTCATAGTTTAAGAAGCCCTCCAAGCTTAGGAGAATGGAGTTGCCAAACAGAATAAAAACAGTGGCTGTTCTGTGCCGTCTGGGACACCGCTGTTTGCTCTGTGGTTCACTGTGCCCATTACCCTCCACTGAGAGCAACAAAAGTAGGCCGACCTTAAAGTCTGCACAAAACCAAGCTGCTCAGGACATGGAGCTCTCTTCTCTGAAAGCAATGTTTTAACATATTCGTCAAAATACTGTTATGAATTTTTTTAACTTTGCAAACCTATTTTCATCTTCTAGAGATATGTTAACAGTGAAAGGGTGTTGCACCCTGTAAGGTGTTGCTCCACTAAACCTCTTACAAAACAATTATAACTCCATTTTAAGGAAGTATAAGGGACAAGCTCAAAAACCAATAGCGATCTTTAAAAAAAAAAAAAAAAAGATGACAAGACTTTGGTCCACAGATAATCAGAAGATCAGCTGGTTTTACAGATATTAACATTTCTAACCTTTCCTTGATGCTTGTTTATTTAGCTGAAGGCCTATATGTGTGGTGTTCATTAGCATATCAAAAGAACGTTGTTTGTTTGTTGACCTGCATGGTGATGAATTCTATATTTTCATTCCTTGGGTGGGAGAATGGCATTGTTTGAGTATGGCGGCGGAAAGAGGAAGGGTTTTGAAAACAGAAGGACTTGTCAACTTAATTCAAATTCTGGTTTGACCATTTCAGTCTTCATGGTCTGAGCAAGTTAATTTCACCCTTCTGAGCCACAGTCCATTTTTCTGCAAGTTGATGCCACAGGGTTGTAGTGGTGATAAAATAACCTGTGTTGTGACCGCAATGCTTCTTGTGGTAAGCATCCCCAATAAGTGGTCACACCTGGTTTTGGAGTCTCCCCTTCACCTGCAAGAATCCAGTTCACGTGAGAGGCCTGATCACTCAGGGTGGTGCAGCCAGGCCCAGCATTGCAGACATTCCTTCTATTATTCCCAAATTCTTCTCATTTTTTAACACTCTCTCCTTTTCCTCAGGTCAAAGGAAGGGGTATGATCTCTACAATAAAAAAACAGACTTATTTTTTTCCATCGCCCTGTTAAATACTCCCTAATTGCCCCTCTGTGTCCCAAAACAAAATGATGTAATAAGCACTCCTAAGGAATTCCTCACCAGCATTCTGCCTTCTTAGATGAAACCAGGTTTGTCATTACGATTTTCTGCAGGATTAAAAAAATAATAATTCTGGGGCACCTAGGTGGCTCAGCCGGTTAAGCGTCCGACTTCGGCTCAGGTCATGATCTCGCGGTCCGTGGGTTTGAGCCCCGCATCGGGCTCTGTGCCGACAGCTCAGAGCCTGGAGCCTGCTTTGGATTCTGTGTCTCCCTCTCTCTCTGACCCTCCCCAGCTCATGCTCTGTGTCTCTCTGCTTCAAAAATAAATAAACGTTAAAAAAATAAAATAAGAATAAGTTTTGAAAACAAATACCTATGTGTTTGTGCTGTCCTTGGATTCTTATGGTTGAAAAGAGAGTGGTGGTTTTAAGTTACATATTCCTTGTATCCTATGCACCTCTCAAGTGCTAGCTTTGATAGTTTGTAGACTACGTGGTCTGACCTATTGACCTGGGTCCTGATGTGCCCATGGTCAAGCCAGAAGGGCCACCCTTCCCACTGGCTTTGCAATCAGGAGGCTGACAACCACCCAGCCAGCCACCCGTCAAAGTCCCTGCTGGTGACTCTCTCCCCCAGCAAGCTGCCTCCCTTCCCCCACTTTCCCAAATATCTTGGGCATCTCAAACAAACCAATTACACTCAGGTTGTTTAAACAAACAGCAGCACAATTCTCTGGCCCAGAGCCCCAGCTGAGGGATTCCCTCGGGTCCACTCTCACCACCTCAACCCTCCACCTCAAACCTCTTTCAGGCAAGAGTAGCCCGAGCAGACAATGACTCTGCATTAACAGTGGGCGCTTTTGAGCGTCTAAATGTTTGCAGACACTTGGTAAAGTGTCCCAGGCCAAGTTTCCAAAGGATAATACCTCCACACTGCATTTGTTTAAGCAGGCAATCCCAGATAAGAGGGGGGTTGTCTCCCCTCTTCAAAAGCCAAGAATGCAAGACAGAGACTGGAGGCAATGCTGTGGGAGGTTGGGGCAAATTCCACTGGAACAGAGAATATCTGAGTCTCTCTCTCCATGTCCACCCTCCCTTCAAAGAGTAGACTTACCTACAGAGAATGGGAAATCAGGGCTTTGGGGGAATTTTTTAAAAGTCTTTCCCAAATAAGACAATGGGGACAGGAAAGGTACAGTTTTCAATTCTACAGCCAGGCTCTACCTACCAGGTAATGGGTCCCTGCCGGACTGACTGGACCTCCCCCACTGGTCAGCCCGAAGCATGTGAAATTCCAGTCAATGCCCCATACTGCACATTTCCTGTTGGCCTGTAGAATAAAAAAAGAACCCATCATTCCTATGTTCCAGGCTCTCCCGGCCATTTCTGCAAGGGCTGCTCCTGCCCCCAAACCTATAGGGACCAGCTGGCAGTTGGATGGGAACTATCTACAATTTATTTCCTCACCCAACAAATATTTCTAGGTTACCTACTGAGACCGAATCCATGACAGGACAGAGGTAGGAAACGAAGGTGGAGTCTAGACTCTAACGTATGATAGAAAGTGATACCCACCTTCAGCTGCTGGGAGTTCAGTGAAGACTTCCAGTTGAGAAGAAGTAAGCAGAATGGAGAAAGCTCCTCAAGGGAGAGACTGCAGGAGTCCATCCTTGAGCAGCGGTTGTCAGTACAGATGGGAGCCAGCTCAGCAATCTGGCTGTGGACAGGCTCTTCCCACCATATTTCTACTTCATGTTCCTTCGTCCATTAACAGAGAAGTTCTTATGTTCTGAGTCACAGAGAATCTCAACTCCCTCCGGAAAAATGAACATGTACCAAAATATAGCACACAATTTCCAAGGATGCCCAGATTTTTCCAGGAACCTCACATTAAGAATCCTTACAATTGAGAAGCACCTGAGTGGCTCAGTCTGCTAAGCGCCTGATTCTTGGTTTTGGCTCAGATCATGATTTGTGTGTTTGAGCCCCACATTGGGCTCTGAGCTGACAGTGCAGAGTCTGTTTGGGATTCTCTCACCCTCTCTCTCTACCTCCCCAAAGTGTGCTCACTCTCTCTCATTCAAAATAAATAAGTAAACTTTAAAAAGAAAAGAGTCCTTACAATTGAATATTGTTGACAGACCCAATTTCGATAGGATTATTGAGAGGTAAACAAAATCTCCATTTATCTATCCTTTACATTTCATTCATGTTTTTTTTTAAGTTAAATAATAAATGTGGTCTATAAAACCCTAAATAAGAAAAGAAAAGTCTTCTTCACTTTCCATATCATTTGGAAAGCCCATTGATCTGAAAAGCGACACTTTGGGAGAAACCAGAGAGCCACCTGACTTGAGGCTGCCATATTTCTCATACAAAAGCCTGTCTGACCTTTTGTACCTTCTTTGGGCTGCAAATCCTGAAGCAATTTTTTCAAAAATCCAAAAAAACTGATGCTTTGAAAGAGACTTTCACAAAGGAATCTAAATCAAACCTTAGCGTTTCTCTGCTACAAAATCTGAGAGCCATGAAACCAGGTGGAGAGACTATGGCTGACTGGCATTCGTCAAAATGGGACAGTATGTGGCTCCTAGCTTTGCTCAGGTCTGCACACCAAACATATTGTGTGCGTTAAAAAAAAATTGAAGGAGTGGATGAGGAGTTTTATGATAGAACAAAAGGCACACTTCATACTACATTTCCTTCCAGAACACTGAGTATAACTGAAATAGATGTTTTAAAGATTAATTCGATTTACTCCTTAAAATATACATACAAGGTAAACTCACAATTTAAAGATATTAGATTCCAAATCCTGATAAAACTGAAAAATACTTTTAACATTTTTTAACTTTTTAAAAAAAGTTTATTTGTTTTTAGAGAGAGACAGCATGAGTGGGAGAGGGGCAGAGAGAGGGGGAGAGAATCCCAAGCAGGGTCTACACCCTCAGCACAGATCCCAATGTGGGGCTCGAACTCACAAACTGAAGAGAACTGTGAGATCATAACCTAAGCCAAAATCAAGAGTCAAACGCTTAATAAATTGAGCCACCCAGGTGCCCCTTAATTTAACTTTTAAGATAACTGTACATTCACATGCAGTTGTAAGAATTGCAAAGAGATCTTGTGGACCCTCTCCCCAGTTTTCCTGACTGATAACATCTTACAAAACCATAGCACAATCTCACAACCTGAATATCGACATTACTACAGTGAGGAAGCTTAACAGATCTATCACCAAGGTCACTGCTGCTGTCCCTTTAGCTACATGTGCTTGTCCTCTATCCCACCACCTCCTAAGTGCCTGGTAATTACTAATCTGTGTTTCATGTCTACAATGTTGTCATTTCAAGAATGTTATACAAATGGAATCATACAGTATATAACCTTTTGGCTTTTTGGCTCTTTTTTTCCACTCAGCATAATGCCCTTCAGACCCATCCAAGTGTATAAAACAGCTGTTTCTTTTTATTGCTAAATTACATTCCATGATATGGATGTACCACAGTTTGTTCAATCGTTCACATGCTGAAAGACATCTGAGTTGTTTCCAGTTTGGTGCTATTAGGAATAAGCCACTCTTAGGGCACCTGGGTGGCTCAGTTGGTTAAGTGACTGATTCTTAATTTCAGCTCAGGCTCAAGTCATGATCTCATGGTGGTTCTTGAGTCTGAGCCCCTGTCAGGTTCTCTGCTTCTCAGAGCCTGCTTGGGATTCTCTCTCTCCTCTCTCTCTGCCCACCACCCCCGTACCCCCCTGCTCATGCACCTATTCTCTCTCTCAAAGAAAATAAACATTTTTAAAAAATAAACATTTTGGGGGGCACCTGGATGGCTCAGTCTGTTAAGTGTCCAACTTTGCCTCAAATCATGATCTTGCCTCCTGAGTTCAAGTTCAAGCCCTGTGTCAGGCTCTGTGCTGACAGCTCAGAGCCTGGAGCCTGCTCCACATTCTGTGTCTCCCTCTCTCTGCCCCTCCCTCACTCACACTACTCTGTCTCTGTCAAGAATAAATAAACATTAAAATTTTTTTAAATAGGGGCGCCTGGGTGGCTTAGTCAGTTAAGCGTCCGACTTTCGCTTAGGTCATGATCTCGCGGTTCGTGGATTCGAGCCCCGTGTCAGGCTCTGTGCTGACTGCCAGCTCAGAGCCTGGAGCCTGTTTCAGTCTGTGACTCCCTCTCTCTCTGACCCTCCCCTGCTCACACTGTCTCTCTCTCTCTCCTAGAAATAAATTTAAAAAAAATTTAAAAAAAAAATTTTTTTTAAATAAACATTTTTGTAAAAAAGGAATAAAGCCGCTATAATCATCCACATATAGGGTTTTGTGTGAACATCATAGTTGTTGTTGTTGTTGTTAATGTTTATTTATTTTGAGAGAGAGAGAGAGAATGAGCACATGCTCATGCACACACATGAACAGGGTAGGGGAGCAGGGGTAAATGGCAAAGAGAGAGGGAGAAAGAATCCCAGGCAGGGATTCTTCTCCCTGACAGTGCAGAGCCCAACCAGCCATGAGATTATGACCTGAGCCGAAATCAAGAGTCTGCTGCCTAAATGGGTGAGACGTCCAGGTGCCCCTGTGTGAAGATCAGTTTTCACTTCTCTGGGATGAATGCCCAGGAATGTAATTGCCAGGTCACATCATGGTTGCATATTTAGTTCTTAAAGAACAACAAACTGTGGGGCACCTGAGTGGCTTAGTTGGTTGAGTGTCCAACTTCAGTTCAGGTCATGATCTCATGGTTCATGAGTTCGAGTCCTGCATGGGGCTCACTGCTGTCAGCACCACAGCCCTCTTTGGACCCTCTGTCTCCCTCTCTCTGTCTCTACCTTGCTTGAGCTCTCTTGCTCAAAAATAAATAAACCTTAAAAAAAAAAACAAAAAAAACAGGGGGGTACCCGGGTGACTCAGTTGTTAAGCATCTGACTTCAGCTCAGATCATGATCTCATAGTTCCTGAATTCCAATCCCACACTGGGTGAGCAAGAGCCTCACTTTGGGTGAACTCGAACCCTGCTTCCGGTAAGCCCTGCTTCTCTCTCTCTCTCTCCCTCCCTATGCCCCTCCTGGGATTCTCTCTCTCTCTCTCTCTTTCTCTGTCTCTCGCCCTCACTCATTTGTGCCCTCTCTGTCAAAACAATTTTTTTCATAAATAAATAAATAAAAAGAAAGAAACTGACAGACTGCTTCTGATTTTCAGAGCATCTGTACCATATTACACTCCCATCAGCTACGTTTGCTGGTCTGCATGTCTTCACCAGCAGAAATAGTGTTACCACTACTTTGTATTTAGCCATTCCAATAGGTATCTAATGATATCTCATTGCATTTTTAATTTGCATTTCCTCAATGGTTAATGAATGATTTCAACCTCTTTCATGTGCTTATTTGCCATCTATGTATCCTCCTCTTCACTGAAATGCCCATTTTCTAATTGGATTGTTTGATGTACTTACTGTTGAGTTTTGAGCGTTCTTTATATACTCTAGATACTAGTTCTTTGTCAGATATGTGCTTTGCAAATATTTTGTCCCAGACCTTAATTTATTTCTTCATCCTCTTCACATGCTCTTTCACAGAGTAAAAGTTTTCAATTTTAATGGAGTACACTTTATCATCTTTTTAATAGATCATGCTTTTGGTGTCAAGTCTAAGAACTCTTTGCCTAGCACTAGATCTTGAAGATTTTCTTCTGTGTTTTTGCCTAAAATTTTTATTTTGTGAAATCTATGATTAATTTTGACTTAATTTTTGTATAATGTGTGAGACTTAAGTTGAGGTTCATTTTTTTGCCTATGCAGTAGGCAAAACTTTAGACTTTTTATTGGATAAGGCTATTTCCATAGTAAGCAACTGAATCTTAAATTTGAAAGTCTTTTTCATCAGCGGTCTCAAAAACAAAACAAAAGGCCATCAGCTCTAAACTCATTGTCTGATGTTACATCTTCCTGCACCAGAAAGACTGTCCTCCAAACGAGAGAATTGGTGGATAAAAATAGAGTGATCCTTGGAAAGGTGAGGGTCTTTACTTCACTAAATATCAACTAAGGAGGGTTATAATACATACCCCTACTTTCACCTATCAATCTTAAAGAGCCAAGCACAGGAAAAAGGAAAGTTCAGGATCTTCTCCAAAATGGTCCCCAGTTGGTAAGGATTGTAAAGCTGAGGAAATATTTTCCAGGAAACCTGGGACAGGGACAGGAGTTCTCCATTCCTTCAACTGGGTTGCTAATTTTGATGACCACAATTTTCTAACAGTGATCTATTAACTCACGGTGGGCTCTGAAAATTCCTTGATTGATTCTGCAGCCCAGGTGAGCCAGCTCCACACATCCTGTGATCAGTATTTCCAAAAGACCTTGTTTGTTAACTCCAATAAAAAACAGAAGCTTGTGTCCATAGCCTTTACTGGATTACTCAGAGTGGGATGGGCGCTGATTCATTTCCAAAGGCTCTGATGAGCAGGCCAGGGATGTTTTCCCAGTGGAGACCCACCCCTCGGCCCCCAGCCCCTCCTGCTCCTCCCCTCCCAGGATAAACACAAAGCAGAGACCAAGCTCCCAGCGGGATGACCTATAAGTGACCCTTGGACTGACCTAACACTCTGGTCACTCTCACCGACAGATTTGTTTATCTTGGAACCTCGGAGCCTCTGCACC